AGGTTAGTAAATGCCCACTTCAGCAAGGGGCCAAGGACGGTCAAGTCTGCCTTCTGGAGTCATGTGGTATTGGAGGACTCATTCACCTCTCTGGGCCTTGCTGTCTTGTCAAAGTGGAGATACTGATTCTCCATTTCAGGGTTACTGTGAACATCAACTCTGTTCAGTCTTGAGAGGGTGCTGTGCAGATGGTGATGCTGGGCAGTTATATCCCTTTTTCTTGGGAGAATTAGTAAAAGAGATTTCAAGGATTTCAACTACACAGCATGTCACTCTGAAGTGAGGGTCACAGATTCTTCATTTTGATTATCTGGGTATTACTTTAAATCTTCTCACTGGGAATAAACATGTCAAAATTACTTTAAAATATATTGCACACCAAATCAAGGACAGAAATAGTCTTTGTAAAAATAATATTGCATGTATACTTACTGTGATATTATGATCGGTTACTTCAATAAAGATAATCTCAGATGGAGCTATGCCTTTTAAATTGGGTTGAGGCAGGAGGAAGAACCCATAATGGTGCCCCTGTCAAAATGAATGAAAACAAAAGGAGGAGAGGCACAGTCCCATGAAAAGTCACCTGAACTGTGCTGCAGGCCTGATGACCTTACTGATGGTGTGATCCTATGGCTGTGATTCTTTACACAAAAACAAATCAGTTATCTCAAACCTGGGGGACCAGAATCCTCAGGAAATGGAGTATTGGGATTGTTTCATTTTTTCCCTTAGCTAGGAAGGAACCCAAAAGGGTTAATCCTAAGTGTTGTTGAGTACTATCAACGCGCTGAAAACAGCTCAGTCGTTGCTAATGACTCCATTGTATAATCAGGGCTGTACTGACACTACGCCCTGTGGTTTGTGTGGGGGTTCTACATGTCCAGATGTACTTGTTTCTGGTAATTTTCCTCTTTTCAAACTGCGTGGTATAAGCATATCTACTCTCAAATATTTATGGGTTCTAATTAGAGAACATTCGATGCGCATCTTCTCTGTTATAGCTATGTGCTATTTGCTATGGAAATAGAACCCAGTCCCACACTCAATATATTTATCACATATATATATTTAAAGATAATAAAAACATTGTGTTGACAATGCTTTTGAAAGGGGTGAGGTCTTCCAATTAAAATAAGAGCTAAAAGAAAAACATTTACAAATTAAAGCTCTACTTTTGATTGGACTTGTCATTAAGGAAGTTCCCTTCTATTAGATATTCATTTTTCCTTCACTAAGCTTTTTGCCTAAGGGTATGAGAAAAGTAGCATTCCTTTACTTTCAAAATACATTTTCAGGGATCTTTAGGGAGAGAAGTGGTATAAATCAAAAAAATTTATATAAAGTCTCTATTCAAGATTCCATGAATTGGGTTTCTGGGAAATTAAATATACTGAGCCAACTTTCATAGAAGGAGCTATGCAAACTCTGGAAACCATAGAAATAATTTAACACTAGATATAAATGAAACTTTATATCAACTTTCCAAAAATCTCTCCCACATCTGTGGGGAAATAGGTTACTAAGTGGTTTTCAGCCATGAGGTCATCAGTGTAGCATAAATTAAGAGGACACATCACAGAAGTGCTGCCTAAGACTTTCCCTGGCAGAGTCTGGGTTGGGGACCTGCTTTCCACACATCATAAAGGAAAGGCAGTGGGACCCAGGGTGGGGTGATCTAGAAGTGTTTCATGGAAGCACCAGAGAAGTTATCAGACTCCCTGGGAAGACAAAGTCAGAAGGTCAAGGGAAGTACACTTGGTATCACACCATGGTCACTAGATGAGGACTAACTTGGAGGGTGGGTTCAACCCAAGGACATGGAACCAGTGGAGCCGGAGCGGTTCCAGTGACGAGCAGGAGCGAGTGAGATGTGAGATCTCCCCTAGGGGCTACTGCTAACCACCCTTACTCGCCTGAGACCTCAAGAAATTAACAGCTCTCCGATCCTTAGCTCTCTCATCTCTAAAATGGGAGTAATACTCAGTTGCCAGAGTAATCAGAAGGATTAAATTTGATAAAGAGGACTTATCTCCAGCATACTCCTTTCACAAAGCATTTTGCACAGTTTCTTATTTAATAATCCCCTGTTGGGATTAAGTTAGGTACTGTTACTGTCCCGTGTTAAAGATGAGAAAAGTAAGGCCCAAAGCTGTTATTTGCCTGAGGTCACAAACCTAGAAAGTGCCAGAGCAAGGACTTAGACCTGGAATCCTGATGCCAGTTCCCTGGGGTCCCACAAAAGAGCTCCAGTAGCTACCATATTTTACCCTTTGATAAGTGTAAACATTTCAAGAGGTGAGACCTCCAAAAGGATTGATGAAAGAAAAGTATCAAGAAACCTTACAGCTAAAGCTTAGATGGCATCTTTTCTTCAACTCCATCAACATCCTAACATTAACTACTGCCACCATAGAGTTAGAATAGATTGTTTACCTGGGCTATTATTGCAGATAGGAAACCAAGGCTCAGATGATGAAGGGACTGGTAGTATGCTGGTCACTCCCTTCATGAATGGTCCCAACAGTTTCGAAAAAAGACTTGTTTCAAAAAATACTGATTTGAGCATCTAAATTTTGTAAAGAACATTCTCTGTAGAGAAACAAAGGTGCACCATTGTTTTTCTGAGACCATGCACATGATGTTGGGAAATAATCCATAGACAGTATCATGATGTTGTAGTCTGAACTCCTGAATAGCTGGCTGTGTGTGGGTTGGGGCAGTCACCATGATGACAAGTTCATCTTAAAATAGCCATTTAACTAACTTATCATTGGAACAGTGAGCTATGAGAAAGGAGTGATCTCTCAGGATCACTGGGGTTTTCTTATTGCTCTTTTGTCCTTGGCTGCTCCAGCCCTGTTCAGTCTGTAACTGCAGTTGCTAAGACACATGCCACAATCTTCACAGAGAAACAGTAAACTCACCTGGAGGCACATGCTTCAAGTCTTATAAAAGGGAATAGCAAAAACAAGGGTGAATCTGGGAAATATGAGAAACACAATTGATTTTCTGGGGCCTACTCACTAAACAAAATACAATAAGACTTTTAATGGCTACTTCTAAAGTTTGAAAATGAGGGAGGAAAAAATTTTCCAAAGGCTGAGTATCAGGTGAACATTGGATGTTCTGATGCCTTTTCTAAACTACAATCTTCTTGCTCTTTCAGTTCTCACAACATGGAATGAGTGGCCAGTGCACTTGTGTTCTCTAATACAATGTCCTGCTTCTTGTGGGAGTTTATGTGCTGGTCTTTAGCAACTGAATATTTTTAGATTCCCACTGACTCTGGCAAGTGTTTCAGACAGAGTTGAGATTGTTGGAAATGCTCTTTATTTTCTAGGGAGTTTATGTTAATGGGCAAAATTGTTTTACTAAGGTGGCCTGTTACTAAAAATGCCCCTATCACTTTTGATCACTGTATGTTAAAAATATATTTGAAGAATTTGTTAATTCTAAACAGTAGCAGTAGCAGTAATAATAATGGCTAACTTGTGCTGTGCGGTTGCCTATACACCACCCGTGTTTTAAGCACTTTATGAGGTTAAGTCAGTGCTACTCAGCTAGAAAGTGTTTGGTCAATTTTACTTTCCTATTTAATTAACCAAATCTCTTTACTGATTTGAGTTTCAGGTAGTTTTTTCCTATCTCTAACATAAGACATGGGTTTTTATGTAATTTTAAGGTGATTATCATTTCCTCTAAGTGATTTGAGTATCAATAGCATTTTGATAGAAGAACAAAGTGGAAGAAAAATGGAAAAGGACAGGTTTGTCAAACAGGAAACACTTAAGACAGACCATTACAGTAAATATTAATTTGTGATAAATAGGACTATATCAAAAAATTTCTTAAAAAATGATTAGGTAAGCCACAAAACTGGGAGGGAATATTCATAACATATCTGACAAAGAACTTACATCCAGATGATATTAAAGAACCACTGCAAATTAAAATAGGCAAAACAGTTGAACACACTCTTCACAAAAGAGGTTATATGAATGACCAAATAAGCACATGAAGAGGTGGGAAACGCCTTTAGGCATCAGGGAAATGCAACTGAGATACCAGTCTCACCCCTGAGAATGACTGAAATATAAATGACTGACAATAACAAATGTTGGTGAGGGTGTGGAGCAACTGGAACTCTCATTCTTAGCTGGCAGGAGTGCAAAGGGATGTGTTTGTTAAAACTTTCCCATGCAGTTAGATATGGAGTTACACTCAGCACTTCTAGGTATTCGCCTAAGAAAAAGAGAAACTTAAGCCTGAGATTTGAACAAAAATGTTCATAGTACTCTTACTGTATAAAAACTCCAAACTGGAAATAATGCAAATATTTGTCAAGAAGCAAATGGACACATCAGTGTACAGGCATATGATAAAATACTTATTCTTCAGTAAAAGGAACAGCTGAATCTCCTAGGCATGGGAAAGTGCACAGTGACTGTATTTGTGTGAACCTCTAGAGCAGGCAAAACAAATTACAGGATGAAAAGTCAAAATAGTGTGTACCTCTTAGGGCTGGGGTGAGCTATCTAATGGAGTAGAGTTTCATGGTATAGCCACTAGCAAATGTCAACTGAGACCTTGCACTTTATTTCTGTAATTTGTTTTTAATTGTTTACATTTTAAAAAATTAGTTCTGTGCACCAAGATCAGAGAGCCCTTTATAAGAATTAAGTCATCTGCTGATTTATAGCCTAAATTATTAAAATTCAACTAGATGCATCACCATTACTTGTATCAGCTGCAGTGCTGATGCATGCCTTACCTCCTGTCAATATCAGAGTCACTGAATTTATGTTTTATTCAGAGTAGGTCAGAATACTTTATGGATGAAATACAGACTTGGACAAATGCCATTCCATGTACTCTGTTGTTATGGAGTTCATTTAAACCAAACCAGTTCTACAAGGACCCAATGTTATATGATTATTACTTCAGAGACCACAATGTTGTTATAAATTAACTGACCAGGACTTTTCTTTTTCTTGAAGGTGTACAAGGGGGAAGAAGCCACATTCCAAATCTCAGGCCTCCAGACCAACACAGACTATCGGTTCCGCGTGTGTGCGTGTCGTCGCTGTTTAGACACCTCTCAGGAGCTAAGCGGAGCTTTCAGTCCCTCTGCAGCTTTTGTACTACAACGAAGTGAGGTCATGCTTACAGGGGACATGGGGAGCTTAGATGATCCCAAAATGAAGAGCATGATGCCTACTGATGAACAGTTTGCAGCCCTCATTGTGGTTGGCTTTGCAACTTTATCCATTTTATTTGCCTTTATATTACAGTACTTCTTAATGAAGTAAACAAACCCAACAAAACTAGAGGTATGAATTTAATTAATGCTACACATTTTAATATACACATTTATTCAGATACTCCCTTTTTTAAGCCCTTTTGTTCTTTGATTTATATACTTATTTTACAGATTTAGCTAGGAAAAAAATATCAGTGTTTTGGTGCACCTTTTTGAAATGCAAAACTAGGAAGAGGTTAAACTGGATTTTTTTAAAAAAAAGAAGCAAACCAGATACCGAAAGCTAGCTTATGTTTTCTTTTAAATTTTTCAGATTTGCCTTCATTCTGTCTTCACTGATGTCTTTTGCAAGCCTTTGATTTTTTTTTTTCCCATGTTACAGTTTAGTAATTTATATTCACCACTCACTTCTTAGGTCTTGATCATCTGTATCTGTGAACATGAATCACAGTGTGTGTACCTACAGGGCTAGGATTTCGGCATTGTCTAGAGTATTACCACACAGAAACCACCACATGATGGAAAATATGTTCACTCAGATAAGGCTGCCCTAAACAACCAAGTTGTCACTCAGTTATTTAACTGTTTAGCTCATTGAAATCAAAATGTGTACTTTAAAATGTTTTAATAATCTGTATTTCTTATGATTTTAACACTATGAGCTGCCTGTCTAAGAAATCAAGTAACCAAAATGCACCTATAAATTATGGAGCATGTAGATTTTACCATGTCAATTCATAGCAGTAACTTTTCGAGGGCATTGTGCAATAGTTAGTTGTTTCCTTGTTCAGCTATTTTAAAAGCTGCTTTAACTTGTTTGTCTTTGTATATAACTACTTCTAATCTAATCACTAGAGTTATTATATTCTGTTATGTTTGACCAGAATTCTATGACGAGAACTGGTGACAGTTTAGTGCCTCTGCCCATTGTCCATGATTTACACTAATTGTGATCAGTCTCCTTATATGTCAGCTCGTTATTTTTGAAAGATTTGCCGTTAGGCTGTTCTTTGAGGTATCAATGAAGTGATTGAATTTCAGTTCCTTAATTCAGTGCACATAATACTAATCTAATAGCAAGTGAAAATTAAAACCCAATAAATTTGTAGTTCCTATTTTTGGGGGTTGATTTGGCTATGTGTGGAGAGGGAATGGTATTTGCTGGTAAGAAGCACAGGGTGTTTGGGGGTCAAGGAGCCTAGATTCTCTCCCTGGATCTGTCACTAACTTGCTGCGTGACCTGAACACGTCACTTTACCTCTCTGTGCCTCAGTGTTCCCATGCATTAAAAATAAAAAATAAAATGGGGATTCTAATGTTTGTAAGTGCTTTGAGATCCTTGATCAACAGGTGCTATCGGAGTGCAAAGTGTTACTCTTGCATGTTTCTTTTGATTCCTGAGATTGTCAATTTTAACCCAAAGTCATTGGATTATGTATATGAAGTCCATAATGTTTGCGTACCTCAGGGACATTTACGAGTTGGAGGTGCAAATATATTCCAAAAGGGTGCAACAGACACAGTGTATCCCCCTGCTTCTGTTTTTGTATATTTTTGCTACTTGGTTTTTCCTGATCATGGCTATTTTGTGCTTGGTCTGTGTTGTCTTAAAATGCAGTATCCTGTGCTAGCTTATAATGTTCCCATACCAAAGTCATGGGGAAACCAACATTATTTTGTTTTTGGTTTATTTATACTATATTCTGCATACAGTACTTTAAATGCCAATTACAGTGCAATCTTTATTTATTGTAAAATTTTTTAAATGTACTTATGTACTAATTTTCCCTTGTAGCATGTTATTTTTTTGTGTTTTATACTTTTGTAATTTTAGGTCAGTCTTGTTCCTTGGCAACATCTGTAGTATTACCATTCTTCTGACATTTTCTTGTGTTTTTAAAGATAAAGAGCATCTAGTGCATTAAATGCCAAAAAAAAAAAAAATCCATTATCAGTGATTGAAACGTTTACATGTACCCAAGAAAAACATAATCATCTCTTTAAAGAAAGTGCTAAGATCAATGAATTATTCTGTGTGCCTACATTGTGATGTAGTAAGTACTAGAAAGTTCTGTATTCTGTTATTGACTAGAAGAACTAGTTTAATTAGCCTTGCAAACTGATGGCATCAAGGTAAATATATTTCTGCCAAAGTTTCTGGCCTTCCAAAACTCACTCCACTATTAAATGTGCATTACAATCCACTATAACAACTGCATCTGCATTTTCTGAAACAATCTCATGCCTTTGGGGAGAAGGCTTTTTTTTTTTTTTTTAAACAGTGAAGAGTCAGCTGAGTTACAAGAACCTTGTCTGCAGGAGAAAAATAAAATCCCTTTTTGGAAACACTTCAGAACTGCTGCTATAAAGAAATTCTCTGAATTGGTTGGCATTTTTTCTTAATGAAATCGTACTTTAAGCCAAAATTGCTATGAATATTTGATCTTTGAGATTTTCATACTGTCTAACCACCAGAAAGCTGAGTGTGTGAACACTAACTAACAGCACTTTATTTTATTGCTCTCCACTATTGACTGTTCATTATAATTCCTCAGTCAAAAAGTTATCACACTATCTGGCACTATTTTATATTACAAATATTATGTATATGTGATATTGATATATGACTATATATTGCCATTACACATGAACAATAAAATAAAGTGTTAACCTTCTCTCTTTGCCCTTTTGCAATATGTAGGAATGAGTGAGTGGCTTTCTGATGCTCTCTATATGTCAAACTCCTCTCTGGCACAAGAAATTCCAGTCATGTGAAGCAAAATTCCCTTTTGTCCTCAAAGAAATCGTTTAAAAAGAAAACTTTTTTAAAAGATTTTTTGCATATTATCTGCCTTGTTCTCATCAACTTGAAATGTTGGCATTTTCTAACCATGTTTTGTTGGCTACAGTAATTCAGTATTCCTGTCAAATTTGAAAAGTGCCCTAATTGAATGTGTTTGAATGTTATCCTTGCACAATTCTTTAAATTGAAAGACAAAATGTTTTACCTCACTGTTGGACATACATTCCAAGCTTTTCAACTTTAGGAGAAAAAAAAAATAATCATGTTTTCCTGTATTGTAAATTTTAGACTATTTCATATACATTGTATTAAAACTGCCATATCAATTTTAATGTATAGATTTTGCAAATACTATGCTATATGTAATACCTAACTGTATCTGTAGTGTATATGTAATATATTTATGCCCAATAAATGTTTTAATTCTTTCTGACTTATGTAGGGTTCTTCTGCCATGGATAGGATTGCTTTTGTTGTTGTTGTTACTTTTTAAAATCTTAAACTACATCCCAGAAGTTGTAAATTCAGATGCCTTTAGAGACCAGGCAGGTGGCATAGTGCAGGGAGCTTGCTTTGCCATCTAAAGGGGTGGCTGCCACCCTGCTCCTGGTTGGGGTCCTGCGGTTCTGCCACCCACAAACATGTAGGCTAGTTTTTTCAAAAGAGGCTGCAAGTCCAGATCTCCCTAAGTGGGCCAACTAACATGCGATTGTGGACAAGGCCCATGGGCAGCCAGTTCTTCTTCAGAGTCTGTGTAGATAAAGTACACTTGTATTCTAACATGTTATCCATATGCCAAACTCAGGAGCCCAGGTTTGCCTCTTCACTTAGCACCTGGGATGCTCCTTCTCTGGGACAGACTCGCACAGTTCTGACCTCCCCCTTCCCTCCTCCAGGTCCCATTCAGCAACAACAACAGCAATAAAGTATAGTGTTGCTACTATAGTCATGGTTTCATCATGATGTTTGGATTTGTTTTGCTAGGAATCCCTGCTATCTTTTTTCCCTCCGAGGGAAAAATGATTGGGGAAACTGATTGTTTATAACTCAAAGCTCTCTTTCTCAAAGAATGCTGATAATCATTCTTTTAGGTAAAAATGCCAAGTTGAACACATCAAGTTTTGCATGCTTCTTACACTCCACTCCTGAAAACATACTAAAGGGCTTTTTTTAAGTCATAACTGCTCTCAACACTGAAGAGTGGGAAAGAATTGTTAGCATGAGAATTTTGGAAACCCGACCAAAGAAAGCTCTGAATTCTCATTTACCAGAGAAGAGAATGAACACCAACTCAATTTACGTGCCGAATTCACGGAAGGTTCAAAAACTGATAGACATATTTCCCTTTAAAGTGATGGTAAAGAGGGATGGGAACCTCAAATAGTATTGGTAAAAAGCTGTTAAAAATGCCATTATAAAAAATAATGTCTTTTTTCAGCCAGACAGCTGCTCCTCCATTTTTGCAGAAACCAAAAGTTTATCCCCAAGAGAATGTAAAATAAGCCCTGGACTTAGAGAATGTTATTCTCACCTGAAGATGAAATGGTTCAGTCCACCCTTCAGTGGTACTTCTTAGTCTTGGCTACACAGTAATACCACCCAGGCAGCTTTTCAAAATCCCTATGTCAGACCCTACACCAATAAAATGAGTATTTCTGGAATATCAATGTTTTTTACACCTGCCAGGTGATTGCATTGTACAGCCAAGATCAAGAACCACTATCCTAAGGTGAAACTCTCAGGCAGCAATCTTCTCAGCTTTTTAGTCCTCTGGCTTAACCAAAGGTAACCTGACATCTGATGAAAGCTGCTAATGTGAAAAGTCCAAAGCTAACAACTTGGAAGAATCTGAGGCTAAGGGAGAAGAAGCTTCAGAAACTCTCATAGCCCCAAAGAAATGAGAAAAGACAAGTCATCTTTAGACCAAAGTTAGGACGCTGTGGAAGAAGAATATGTGAGGAACATGGAAACATTCTTGGAAATCAGCAACTCAAGTAGAAGGATTGGAAACTGGAATTGAAAATAATCCCAAAACAAAGCAGAAAAGTGAAAAGATAAGTACATCAGGATCAGACCCGGATATTCAATAGCCAAATAATAGGAACTGCAGAAAGAAGAGAAAATGTAGAGGAGGAAATCAAACACATGAGTTTCCAGAGTGAACGTACACAGGGTGCTCAACACAATAGACAAAACAGGGCCTCTGCTAAACCACATCAGCTTGAAATTTCTAAACAACAGAACCC